TAACTAGAAACCAGATTTTCATGAAAAGTGAAAAATGAAGGAAAAAAAAACCCATACAAATGTTCAAAGAAACAAACCCTGAGAAGAATGAAAGAGAAACAAAATAAAATAAAAAGCAAAAGATTAGAAAGTAAGAAAAGGCTTCCCAGTCCCGTATATGATGCTAGAGGAGTAGCTTGAGAATAGGTCAGAAAAGGCACACAATTGGGAAGCCTTAAATTTAGAAAGCTTGAAGCATTCGGAGCAATCTTTCTTCTTTTCATCAACCCTCCACCCAGCTCACCCACTTCAAAAAAGGGGGAAAAGTAAAAAGAAGAATGACAAGCACCAGCACCAGAAAACCAACACTCAGTGCTTTAAAACGTTACCTACTGAGCATAATCTAATGACCAAGTCTATGGAGGTTGGTTAAATGGACCCTATTTTGTGGTTTGGCTGTCAGTCTGTAAGAAACAGAAAATGAACAGGAGAATAAAGCTCACCCTGGAGTTTTTGTAACAGGTTTAAACCTATGCCAAAATGCAGGTCGAATATCAGGTGGACAGTCAGCTGACTGGCTAACTGGAGGTTGGATGAAAGCTGATTCAATTAACAACTCAATGAGACGACTTCCTAGCTGCAAAGTTTGATCAGGCAGAGAAATGCCTTAAAATATTGTAATTATTTCATTATGTCAAAACATATAGGATAATAGATGGAAGCCACAAACCTTAGCCTGGGTGTCTCGACCCCAAGCCTTAAATTCTTCTTTTTTCAACAACTTTTGCACCTCTTTCAGTCTCCTCCTCCTAATTAGACCATTAACTCGTTTCCTCAATATCTCTTTCTCCTTGCTCAAACACTGAGCATCAGCTGGAATCTTTGTTCTCTGATTACTCCTAGCCTTCTCCAGAAAGCTCTGAATTCTAACCTGGGTTAAATTTGAGAAAGAGAGTCAAGCCCTCAGCACAATTATTTAATGATGTTGGCTAAGTACCGAGAAAAAAGCAACAATATTTCTCAAGAACTCAATAGAACAAAACTAAAATTACGGTGATTAAACTCAAACTTTTGCTCCATAACATTTTTTTTTTTGGTTAAGAAACAATTTCATTCATTAGTGAAATTACAATAAAGGGGATAAACACCCATAAACCAAAGGAGTTACATGAAACTTCTCCAATTGGTCAAAAGAGAAACCATAGTGTACGAGGCAAATACTTTAGATGCTTTACACCGAGACTTAGCAAGAAAAATGATATTGTCAAAGAGTCTAGTGAAAGGGAGCTCTTTTTCTGTGAAGAGTCTATGGTTTCTTTCGTTTCAATAAGTCCATAAGAAAGCTCGAAGGATGCGTTTCCAAACTTTTGCTCCATAACACGTTAAATCAACGTTAAATTCATTACTGAATATAAGACGGTCAAATTAGAGAAAAATCAAAATTATTATTTGGTATGTAACTAAACTGAACCTATATCAATATCCAGGGACCTCAGAATTAAAACACTGTGATTGATACATCTGCAGTCTGCTCGTAGAATACATGATGAATAATTAGGCAAACAGAATTCAACTCTAAAAAAAATTTAGCTTGTCCTCGCTTTGGGAAGAGAGAGAGTGGCATTTTCTGGATATTAATATGGAGAAGAAAATAAGGAAACTTTATTATTATTTATTAAAAAAAAAAAAGAAGCACTGTATATTCAACCAAACATGAGGAAGACAGCCTAAGGGCTGGGGTAGAGAGGACACGCCCAAAAGAGAACGGAACCTATAAAGCTTCCCATCTTTAAGAGGTTATAATTACAAAATAATTTCTTATAGTTTGAATACCACCGAGATAGTATGCTGAAGTTATGTTACAGTCATATTATAGAACATTCAACTCGAGCAATTCAGTTTGAGAAATTATCCCTGAAGTTAAGAAAATCACTCTCCCATTATGACTGTATTCATGGTTGGATTTAAATGTAACCATTTCATAAGTCTGAAGAATAATTGCAAGAACACTCATAGCTTAGAATTGCTCTAGATGAGTTGGATAATAACGATAGTGTTTATTTGCAACAATTTTATAAGTTCGAAGGGGGTAAGTAATTTCATAATTTGAAATTTGCTTTGTTCAAGAAAACAAAAAAAAAAAAAAGCACAATATCTTTAATGCTCACCTCCTGCTCTATAGCACCACCAATCTGAACCGCAGCCTGAACGACTTGAACACAGCCATCCTGCTGCGCCACCATCAGCAATCCCATCATCTTGTACATGACAATAACTGCCATTTTATCCGCAGACAATAGCTCTATATGAGGCGCAAATGCCGCCTTCTGCTTCTTACTCCGCTGCGTATTTTGCTCCTTCTCTATAGCCTGCTTCAACGGCTCAAACCACCCCAAGAACAATGTCTTCACGTATGGCAAATTCGGAGCCAACTTCTTCTCGCACATTTCTCTCTCTAACTCCTTGTACTCCTCCACCATCCTCTCCCACGCCTCCGTCTCCGCCTTAATCTGCCTCCTCCTCAGCAAATTATACTTCCTCTTCTCAATTTCCTTGAATTCCAATTTCACTTCCTTTTGGACGCTTTTGTACAGCCCCTTCAGGAACAAGGAGGCTATCCATGGCGGGTCCTGGATGAAGATTCTTTGGCAAGATTCCCTCGTGGGAACCTGCAAATTCATGGAATTATCGAGGGTTTCCGTGAAATTTTCCTGAACCGAATCTGCTAGAGGTTGAAGCCGCACTGGTTCGGCAGTGGAGTCGGAGTTTGTGGGGAAAGAAACAGAAGAAAGAGGGGAATTGGAGAGGGAGTTGAAGGTTGAGGTGAATGATAAGTGGGTTCTTCTTTCGCAGTTGCATCGTTTGGTGGGCTTCCTCCATGCATTGCCGCCATAAATCGGAGCTTGAAGAGTTGGAAAGAAGGAGGCCGTGGATGTCATTTTTTGAAGATAAAATTACGGCATTGAAGAAGAAAGCGGATGAACGATGAAACCCCTCTTAAACCTCTACGCTGACTAATTTTGAAGATATTTTATTTTCTCAATTTCTCCACGCCGTTAATTTTTATTAAATAACAATTTTCCTCTTTTTATTTTTTAGAAAAATAACAATTGTACTTTTTATTTTAACATAAAAAATCAATTAATATATTTTATTTTGCCTCGCGGACCCGTGCTAGCATATTCTAGTTTTTTAGAAAACTTTTTCAACAGTTTAAAAGTTTCGTAATTTTCACTCCCAGGAATTTAATCCCAAATCGTTCCATTTATGGAGGGATAATGCTTGAAATGTCTCGTTGAAACGAAATTTTCATTTTCATAAATTTAATCTCAAATCGATCCATTTTTTGAGGGATGATTCTTGAAATGTATTGTTGAATCAAAATTTTAATGTTTAAATAAGGTATTTTGTGTTTTTATCCCGTTGAGTTATTTTTTAAGGTTAGCTACCAAAATTGAATACACTTATAAAATTGACACGTCATAGGTTTGTTTCGACCAATTTTGAATCATTTAGTACGTTGGAAAAACAAAGAAATTGTACTCATCAAACTCGAGTCATAACCAATATCTAAGTATGGAATAAAACCAAACTATATAAGAAAATTATAATTATTTTGAATCCTTTAGATAGACTGATCTGATTGTAAAAAGTTATGGTTTGTGGTTTTTTTCATTTATGCAACCCATACCGAATACGAACAATTATCTCCGTAAGAAAGATGCTTAAATAATATAGGAGATCATAACAATGCAGTTATAAGTTTTAGATTTTCCACGATCGTCTACTCATCAGCCACACTAAAAAAGTCATTGGCCTAGTAATTATCATTTATAGATGTTTTTTTAGTACAACATGTGCGGATGGATAGCCGAACTTACAACATCTTAATTTGAAATATATGCCAATCTACGCTCGCTTTGGTATATAGAGATATTGTTACTATTTTGAATCAAATGTATATATAATAATTAATATAATACTCATTTTTTAGCGAGAGCTCGTAACACACGTGTTAATGTTATTTTTAATTAAAATAATAATAAAGTTTATTTTGTTTGATTACTATTTTATCGTTAGCAATATTTTTGTTGAAATAATAATACTCATAACAATTTATTTAATATTAATCAATAATAAACAAGTTTAAATAGAAAACAAATAATAAAGAAAAAGAAAAAGAAAAAACTGTGGATCTAACCGCGGTGGGATTAGTCTAACCCAGTTTCCAAACGCTGACAACAAAGTCGTCCAAAGTGCGGACGTTCTTTCCATTTCATCGCGATGGACTGAACGAACTTTCCCAAGCAGAGACGTCTCGCCAATTTCCAGGTTAGAATTCAAAGCAATACAGTCCCAATTAGCCAAATCAAAGTCCCGATAATTCGTAGATTTCACCTTTTTCCGAAGCAAAATTGGAGAATCTGTTATCATCTACACTCATGTTGGTGATTAACTGTATAATTCGTTAGCGCACAATCGATTTCAGGGAATTTATTTTGTATCAATCATTACTTGCATGAATTTCCCAACTCTGAGCTTTAAGCAAATGCAGCGAATTGATGAGGATGGTCAGTGAATGAGCGAAATTCAAGTTCTGTATTTGAATTGTTACTGGCATTATGTTCTGCATACATGGTTGCTTTCCTTATGGATCGTGTATATTGTTTGTAATTCCTCCTACAAGACATAGATGTTCTCTTATCTAACTTGCAATGTGACGAGTTGGATGAATGTTTGTCAGTTCCAGACAACGGCAGTGGAGGCAGGATTTATCGGAGTGTTGATCCATTAGTCATCGTTTATAGTCAACAATGGTGAGTGCTTACATTTCTCTCTATCCCTGTCCGTATCTGCATTTGAGTGATTCAGACCTTAACCTCGCTACATACTTTTATTATAATTTATCTGATTAAGCTGGTTAAGTACTGTGAACTGAGAGAAGGCCCGTCATAAAATTGTTGTTCTCACCTGAAGTATACATATATTTTCTTAATGGGCCTGTGCTAATGAGTAGCGGTTTTTGTTATCTTATTGTGAATTTTTACCTTGAATGAGTAGCGGTTATTGTTATCTTATTGTGGAATTTTACCTTGTGACCATGTACTACTGTATCCATATGTTTTTTACCATCAATGCTAAGGAGCACAGACACTTCAGTTTGGGTAACATGTTCGTGTTGGACACTCTGGCACTTTTTGAACACATATCAGACACTTATGATCTCAATAGATGTATATCACACACTAGTTGTACAAAGTGAATATGGATCCGACACTTGTTAGGCACATCTCAAACACGGGTTAAGCATAAGATTTAGACATAAATAGTAATATAGGACAAAAATAATAAATTCGAGAGCATAGTACATTAAACTTGTTTTTTAAGCATAAAAGAAATTGATCCAAATGCTTAAGAAAATTTTATATTTTAATAAACATGTTCTTGCCATGTCCGTATCTTAGATTTTTAGAAAATGATGTGTCATCGTGTATGTATCATGTCTCATGTCCATATCCGTGCTTCTTAGCATCAACGTAGTTCTCTTTTTCTTCTAAACAAAAGATAAAAATTTAGTGAAATTATTTGCACAACTTCACAAGTATGATGTGTACATGTTGTGTAAGCTAGAACCAAATAGAGGAACAAAGCCTTTAACGCTTGGTGTTAGAGAGGCCAGTCTAATGGGCCAACAAGAAACTCACTGCCAGCAATATACACGGTAATATGGTGAAGACCATCTATTACAATGTTTCTAATAAGTCACCTTGACAAATATACATATACTTAATCAGTATGAGGGGCGGAAATTCTTTCGAAGCAGGATTTGCTTTCCTCCAGTTAACCAGGAGTCTTACTTTCTAGAAAGATCAGACATCCTTCAGAATTTTCTTTAAATAGAAGTACATGCACTTCTGAGATCTTTGTGATCATATACAGTTCACATCCTCTAGTTGTAGTACTTTATGCCGTGATCTTTGTTATCACTCAACTTCTTTGATCAATTTAGACTAGACGTGTTCTGTAATATCCTTCCTTTGGTGAGAGGACACTTCTCATCTTCTTTGGCCTTTGGGTTGTCTGATTAAATGCCGATAAATCAAATCTAGTAAGAGTCAAAAGTTTGACCCAAAAAGGATATTAGAAAGCTGTGATTTTAAAATTCTAAAATTGGCCAACCCTTTTTTTTTCTGACCAATATTAATTTATCTGTCATTGTATCCCAGAAATTCGGTTTTTAGAAACTTTCCAGTGTTCTCAAATTCAAGGGATAGGAAACAGCTACTTGGTGGTGATTGGTTGTTGGAAGTGACTTGATGCATAGGAAAATCCAAGGGTGTAGAGAATCCAGTTAAGAAATTCATGATGTTTCTTTGGTTTGCCTCTTCTCTTGGCTTTGATACATCCATATTTTCCCTTACTTCATTCTTCTACATCTGTTCAGTTATGGGGTCAGTTCTACGTTTGTTTGCATCTGGTAAGCTTTATGCATGTTATTTTATTTGTTTAGTATAGCTTAAGTTTTTTATTACATCATATCAAACCAAAATAAATAATCTGGTTCTTTTCATAAAATGTTATACCATATGGACCTGAGTATTAACGTCTTCAACTGATTTTCAATTTCCAATTGAATGTCACTATCCAGTAATGTATGTTTCTTATACCATATTTATGTATAGGCCATGTATATCCGAATCAAGCGCCATAAGACTACCTACTTTATCCAGTGTGATCCAATTGAGACGACTTTAGATATCAAGCAAAAATTGGCAACCCTTATTGATCAACCATTAGTTGATCAACGCTTGATCCTGGTGGGGAGTGGGGAAGTATTGGAAGATACAAAGACACTGGCTGATCAGAAGGTAGGTTTGAATTCATATATTTTGTTACATTTGGTCATTAACTATCGCATATTCTGGAAATATCATGGTGAAGGAATTCAACAGCTGCAACTTTGCTTTGTATTTCCAGGTTGAAAACGATGCAGTTGTGGCTCTAACGTTGCGAAAAGGTTTTTGTGAACTTCTAGCACTCCTTTCTAAAAGCCTTTGTTCTGATAAGGGACTAAAAATTATTGTTTGGAGTGGACTTACCATCTAGTTTCTTCTTTACTTTCTGCAGAAAGAACAAGTCTTTATGGTTATGATCATCGTTGTTGTTGGATTTGGATTCAAAATATAAAATGCTGAACCTTTTCCCTCTCTTTGTGTAGATGATAACGAGTTCGAGGAGATTAACATTGTCCGGCCAGACGAGTTCTACCAATCTCGTGATGCTGATTCTGGAAATTGGTAAGGACAGAAAATTCGCTTTGTACTTGATGTTCAGCCATCAATCTTGCTGCTGTACTTTTTAAATCACTTTTCTATCTGTTTGATGGAATTGAAAATGATGGAAAAGAAAGTAAACCATCTGTAGGATTAGGATTAGATATTCATAACTCCATGCCTTTTTCCTTTGTACAGGTGATTGAACACCATGTGCTTCTGTATTGCTACAAGTACTATATTTGAGTTGAGGATTTTGATAGGAAGACTTTTTAAATTGGCCTCAAACTAATATGAATTAGCTTCATAATTAAGTTGTAAATTGACTTGTATTCTTGTTCCCATTTATCATTACTGTGGTGATTGTTGCTAGATATTCTAGCAATGTGAGTTCTAATGATTTGGAAAATAAAAAACTACCGGGTTAAATTACAAGTCCTTATGGCATGACTAAAATACCTCGATTAATATCAATTATCAACTTTTGCCATGATAAAATTACTCCCAAATATAACTCTATTTTATCCTCTGGTAATGCGATTAAAGTCCCATGTTAGCTATAGAATAATAAGATTATGAGTATATATATGAAGTATCTTAATTTGTATGAGGTCATTTTGTCGAAATTAAAAGCAACGTTATGATTTGTTATGAGTTATATCTGTAATGAACGATACTATAACATTTTAGAAATATGACATTGTAGAAATAGGGAGGGTTTGACTATTTTGTTTGTCTCGTTCCACTATGTTTTATTAATTTAATTACTCATTAAATGACGAAAATAACATTCAATAAACCTTAATTTATAAAAATATCTATCAATATTAGATGAATTGATTTAATATTCCAATTCAACTATGTTGTCCTGCTACTTTCTAAATGATTGTAAAATAAGTCATTATATGTGATATTAACTATATATAATTAAATTTCAATACCTCGGAAATAAACACATTTATTTTTCTCTTGAAATTGGGGTTTAAACTCTCCTTATAGTTCGCATCAAATATTTTGGAACTAAGTTTTAATAATTTAAAAAAATAATTGTAAAGTTCATATCTGACACGCAAATTCAATCCTTACTGTATAAAAATAAAAGAAAAAAGGGCTACTTCTGGATGATAATATCCCAATAAAGAAGAGACATAACTTGTTACCGTCTAGTTTAGTAAAAAATTGAAGCATGTTTAGGCCAATGAAAATATCATTATAAAGATGTGAGGCATATTTTGCAGTACAATGAATAGGGGGAATTAAGATTTGGAACCTTCCAACTCAAATAAGAAGAAGTAGATAACATTTATCTCACTAAAAGAACGAGTATATAGCATTTAGAACTATGATCATATTAACAACTCTTGTTGTTTACTATTATATAATCATCATTTAGGCCGTTTATATCATCCATACATAATTTCAATTTAAAATTTTATATTTTCAACCTCGGAAGAAAATCCAAGGTCTAAAATATAGAATAAACATATATTTTTACGACCCTACTCCCCAACTAGTTATGTTCCACTTAATCCATATTTTATGACCATGTATTTTTTCTTGTTTAATAAATGGGGGAGTCACCATCTTTTGATTAAAGATGTGTACCTTAACCAATTAAATTAAACTTTTTTCATATGAGATTTTAGTAGTAATAAATCTACAACTCCTATTAATTGGGGAACAAATTAGACATTAGGATGATTTAGGGCCAAATTAATTAGAAATTAGGATAATGTAGGACCAAATTATTAAAAATTAGGATAATTCAGGAAAGGAAAAAAAAAGTTGAATATTTGTTTAAAGTATTAAAATAATACCAACGGATCGGATTTTTGGTCATCTGAATTCTGAAGCTGCAGTCTACTGCATTCGTTCACCGTGGGCTTACTCTCACTCCCTCCGCCATCCGCCATGGCTCTTCTTCCACCCAAGCTCGCCCTCGGATGCCCTAATTCTACACTATTCTCTGTAACTCTGAGACTCTCTTCTCCTCGTCTTCCACCATTCCGAGTTTCCTGCGCTAAACGAACCGGCAAGAAGAGGTATCCATCGGAAAAGAAGAAGCTCAAGTTGAAACACAAAGAAGTCCTCACTACAGTCAAGAACAAGTTCGAAGGCATTTGGAGGCTGTTCAAGCTCGGAGTTCCCGTGGAGAAGGATCATGGCAAGGATTTTCATGGTCTCTCGGATGCTCTGATGCAAGAGATTGCCAAAGTGCTTGAGTTTCCGGTAATTTAGGCGGCTTCGTTGATGTTTTCTTTCTTGACTATTGGGAATGGAAGCTGAGTGCATATGTTTTGACAATACTGCGTGTGAATTTTCCAGGTCGCCTCAATGCTGCCACGGGAAGCCTTTTCGGTTATTCGTAAATCTTTTGACGCCAGAAAGGTCCGTCTGATGATATTCTGCTGATTTTGGACGTTTATAGATTTCTTATTGTTGCCTATTTGTTAGAAGTATTAATTGATTATCAAGCAGTTGCTGGATTATTTTCTTATACTAAATTGCCTCACCGATGCTTTCAGATGTTGAAAGAACCCAAGTTTGTGTATACCGTGGAAATGGATGTACATAAGTTACTGATTCTGGAACCTCGTGTTCGGGATTTCATTTCGGACTTGGAGCCTAAAGTTGGATTGATGGAACATATTGCAAAAGAAAAGGTTTCCAATGATGTAATCAGTATCGTTCATGATCTCAAAAGTAATCACGAAGTGGTGGGAGAAAATGGACTTAACGGTCACTCTGGTCCTCACTTGCGAACTTCAAATAGAAAACCAAGAATTGCCGTTGTTGGCAGTGGGCCATCTGGCCTTTTCGCCTCTGTTGTCCTTGCAGAGTTTGGGGCTGATGTTACCTTGATTGAAAGAGGTCAACCGGTGGAACAAAGAGGGCGTGATATTGGTGCATTGGTAGCTCGTCGGATTCTGGAACTGGATAGCAATTTTTGCTTTGGGGAGGTTATTAATTTTACTTCTTTAATTACTCCTTCCACAGACTTATTTGGTTTTAAGTTATACATGCATTGCATTATTGCTTTATTCGAAGACATTGCTCTCGACCACAGTTATATGTTCTTCCAGTGCTACTTCTCCTCTGGTCCCAAATATGTGTTGCACCCCATAATTACTGTTATGTATATATATAATCTATTTCCCTGAAATTAGAAACAATATCAAAGATTTAATTTCAAGGAACTGCTTCCTTTTAGTCCACTTTTGCCAGACAAAGTATGGTTAAAAAGATTTCCAAATGAAGAACTGGAACTTCCATAAAGTATGAGTTTTATGGAGCATTTTGAACTCCATCTTGAAGAAAAGTTGTTCTCGAACTACCAATGTCCTCCTGTCGTGGCTTCCCTTTAAAAATTGTTCCCTTTAGTCTCAAATTCAACGTCCAATTTTGTTTTTCCTCCTCCACCCCCCAGAATACAGTTCTTTCTATTCCCCCTTTTCCTCTTAAACGATAAGGAAATTAGCTGTATACCCTGCAAGCTGATTTTTCTTTTAAGATAGATTTTCTGGAATATTAATGAAGTTTTTTTACTAAGTAAATGAGAAGATTTACATCTAAAATGCGGGAAATAGACAGTCGAGTCCCTTAAGAAACTGGAGATTGCAAAAAAGAGTGCCAATTTTAAAGCTGCAAAGTAGAATATTTACAGAAAAAAGCTTTGTATTAGCACTCCAATTGGAAATCTATCTTGTCACAGAATAGGAAGAAAACAGCGGAATAATAAAATGCTGACTGTACTTGGATCACCACTTGGCAAGAAAATGTTAGAATAGCATGGTTGCGTCACAAATATGCCATAGATTAAATACTATTTCTTTGTTCAATATTTCTTCAGATAAACTTAAAATCCAGGGAATATTCTTTTTGGGAACTGAACTACTTGATAGTCAAAGCTGAAGTAAGTTGATTTGGACGAACTTTTTGTGTCAGAAAGAAACAGTAGATTTCCCCTAGGAGCAGAGAGAGTGTTTCTTGTTTCATAGGAGCATATTGTTCTTGTAACTGTGTTGCGGATTGTCCAGAGATTGTTTTTTGTTATCTAGGAGCATACTGTTTTTGTGACTGTGTTGCAGATTGTCCGAACCTTTTGTAACCGTGGGTTATCTCCTCTCTATGCTAATTGAAAATATTTATTTTGCAACTTCTTTAACTCGGGCTACACTACACAATAGTCCATGAAACAATTGTTATCTAAAGGAAACTATGTGATAGTCAATGATTGAATTCTCACTGTTGTGTGCATATCAATTTATTTATTTATTAATTTGTGGTATTCTTGACTAAGTCTATAAGCTCAGTCAATTGGGCACATTTTATGTTTTTCTCATTGGCATATTGTCCTATGGTCATTTGATTGTGTTCTCCTTTTCTCCAAGATATCATGTTTCTTGGCTCTTCAGTTCTTTATCTTTGAGTTATTCATTTAGAACTTATGCATGGCAGGGTGGTGCAGGTACCTGGAGTGACGGGAAGTTGGTCACTAGAATTGGTAGAAACAGTGGCAGCGTCCAAGCGGTTAGACCTTTTTTCCCCTCATCAATCTATGTGTTTATCTATGACACTAAAATAGTTATTCTTTCTCTGATAAAAAGAATGATGCTTTTGCTTCAAAATTGTATGGACATACTCATGTTCTTCAAATTTGTTTCGTTTGATGAATACTACTTTTTGGTGTAGTTTTTCTTCTTCCATGTAGAGTAGAAGAAATGAACATCAGTTTCCAAAGTCTTGGCTATGATATTTTTTTTTCCTGTTTTGTACGCCAAGTCCCTAAACCACCATCTCCTTCATTGTTAGATTTGCTTTTATAACGAGGCACCCAAATCTTGTGACTTTCTGAATGTTATTATGTAGTTTCTCCATGGTGCCTTGTTCTAATTCATACTTCCTTAGTTGTGTTGAAAAACCAGCATTTTGTTCTCAGTTTTTACCTATGAATTTTAAACTAAGAATTGCAGAGAGCAGCACCATCTCTGTTCCATTCCGCATATTATCTACACCTGTACTTATTTATCAAAATTTCCAAACTGTTTGCGTGGCTACAAATCTTGGCCTTGGATGCTTTTCCGGTTTGAAAAATATAATCTTTTGTGTTTGAACGTTATGTCATCTCCAATCAACATCACGAAAAGAAAACCTGCTACTTCTATTTACAATCTATTCCAATTTCCAACAAGATTATCTACTTTATCTAATATATCCCTGGAAAACCAAATTTTGTTTTTTCATTCTTGATTCTAGGTTATGAAATCTTTAGTTTATTTTGGGGCCCCAAAGAATATTTTACTAGATGGAAAGCCTCACCTTGGAACAGACAAGTTGATTCCATTACTTAGGAGCATTCGGCAACACTTACAAATGTTGGGTGTGAGTATCTACCTTATTCCCATCCTTGGGTTTGTATCATGTATGTATGTAAGATTAAATATCTTTTGCTAGCTTCCACATTTCTTCAGCTTTCCCCCCTTAATTTTTACGACTTGATTCTAGGTCACTATCAAGTTCGGGACTAGGGTTGATGACCTTATTGAAGAGAACGGACATATAGTGGGTGTTAAAGTTTCTGATTCAAGAGACATGTTAAAGCTCACTAACCAGAAACTTGAATATGATGCCATTATCCTAGCTGTTGGTCATTCTGCACGTGATGTATATCAAATGCTTACGTCTCATAATGTTTCCCTGGTTCCCAAAGAGTTCGCCGTAAGTTTAGACTTGATCCCTCTTGTTTTGTGAATAACTTGGTTTCTTTAACAAGGATATTGCATCTATGAATGTTCTCTTAGACCCAAAAAAAAATGTTGAATGCGTGGATGCTAAAATAATGCTTGATGTACGCACCTGGATTCAATTTGTTGTGCCAGATTTGTTGCCCGTTAACAAGGATATTGCATCTATGAATGTTCTCTTAGACCAGAAAAAAAATGTTGAATGCGTGGATGCTAAAATAATGCTTGATGTACGCACCTGGATTCAATTTGTTATGCCAGATTTGTTGCCCGTTAACAGGATCTCTTTTATAGATTCTCACATTGTTGTCCTTCATGGCTTAGGTTGGTCTAAGGATCGAGCATCCTCAAGAATTAATAAACAGCATACAGGTTGGCATTATCGCTTTGTTCAAAATTGATTGTTTTTCTCATCTTAGCTTTCATATATGTTTCACCTTGCTTTAGATATAAACGTATGCTTGTATATTCAAATGTAGTATTCTGGCTTGGCCAATGAGGTAGAGAAAGGACGTGGGAAAGTACCTGTGGCAGATTACAAAGTTGCCAAGTATGTTAACATAGACACGCAGGATCCATCGTCCAATTCTCTAGCTGCAAGTCGCAGTTGCTATTCATTTTGCATGTGTCCTGGTGGCCAGGTATGTCTCTCAATTGATTGAACTGATCAAGAAGGCATATTTTACAGATTGGCTCTAGTTCGATCTCTTATGGTCTCGGATTATATTATACCACAATTGGGTGAATTTGGCATCGACTAGTGTGTACAGTTCTGTTAGAAAACTGACGCTATAAGAACTCAAAATTCAGTTACTCTCTAATGTCAGTAAATCTGCATTGATTAATGTCTTTATGTAAGAAAACTGATATTATTTACTCTCTATTTTCTTATACCTCATAAAAGCAGAGTTTTAGTACGTTTAAGTGCAGCCTCATCGAGAAATTGGCATCTGGCATAAATCCATAATTGTTTCTTAATGAATTTTACCATTGTTTTATATCTGTTAATAGTAACTTGGTACGTCATTTCTAGGTTGTCCTCACAAGTACAGACCCCTTAGAACTTTGTATTAATGGAATGTCATTCTCTCGACGTTCATCAAGATGGGCAAATGCTGCTCTTGTCGTCACTGTTTCAACTAAGGATTTTAATGATCTGAGTTTCCAGGGGCCTCTCGCTGGGGTTCAATTTCAGGTGGCGTTTCGGTCTTCTCTCTTCGTCCTAAATAATATTTTATCTTTTCGGCAACCTAATAAACTTTCACTTTCTTTTCCCTGCAAAAACTTTTAGGAATAATTTTTTTTGGTACAATAAATATGGGAATGAGAGATAAGAATCTTCAACGTCTAGGGAAGGAGCAAGACATAGTTGTGCTCATGTAATCATTTCCATTCAAATATATCTCCATCAATCATCATGCGATTATAATAACTTTATCTTTTCCTAAAATAACTTCAGGGCATTAACATTCGTTAAGTGATTGTATTCAACTTACCGACTTTCATAAACGATGTCTCTTAATGGTATTCTACTATTTTCTTGTCAGAGAGAGCTTGAGCGAAGAGCAGCCGTCATGGGAGGTGGAAATTTTGTTTTGCCTGTACAGACAGCTACGAATTTTATGGACAGAACGTTAAGAGGTATGTCAAGTCTTTGGTTGCTCTGAAACTTCAGTTTTTTTTTTTTTTTTATGTGATCAGAACCCACACCCTTTTAGTCAAAGATATATATTTTAATTAGTTGAGTTATGTTCAAGTTTGAAAATTCTTAATGTTGAGTTAAACATTGAAAAGTTTTATAAAAGATAAAAAAACTAAGGTCTTATTTGATAACTATTTTTTAGTTATCAAACTCATCCATTTCTTTGATATTTTTTTCACCTTTCTTAAAAATATTCTTAGCTAAATTTAAAAAACAAAAGCAAGTTTTTGAAAGCTACCTTTCTTAAGTTTTAAAAATTTAGCATAGATTTTGAAAACCTTTCTAAAATGTAGATAGAAACAAAGAAATACATGAATGAATGAAAGTAGTTTTTAAAAGCTTAATTTTCAAAAACAGAAAAAAACAACAAAAACAAAATAGTTATAAGCAGGGTCAAGTTTTGTTTGAGAGTTTTACAATTTAAATCGGGGATAAAAATTCAAATGACCAGTTGAGCCGTACTCATGTTGGCTATTAAAAAAACCTACATGGTCATCTCCGTACTATCAGCAGGATTTTCTGCACTAAACTTCATTTTACCAACTACTTCCCTTTCAGATTGATATGTTTGTTTTCTTTCTTTCCTTTCTTTCATTGTTTTTCTCAGTAACATCCGTGCCACCATCAAGTTATCGGTTAGGAGTGAAGGCCTCAAATCTCCACGAGTTATTCCCTGATCATATTACAGAAGCTTTACAACAATCTATCCTAGCATTTGATCAAGAGGTCCTCTATTAATATCTTTTTTGACAGCATGCATTTCTTAATTATATCCAAACTGACCGACCTTTTTCTTTCCAAATTTTGGACGTTCAGTTACCAGGTTTTCTCTCAAGTGACGCCCTTCTACATGGAGTGGAGGTAGTTTTTCCTTTTTATATAAGAATGTTTGGTTCCAAAGGGTTTCTAACCCCTTTTTCTCATTCTTTGAAATGAAGAATGTAATGTTTTCTAATGGTCTAAATGATTCGGAAGTGGCAATTAGAACGTGTTAGATCACCACTAAACTCAAAAGCTTAAGCGGATGGATTACGATAAATATAATAATTTATCAACACTTCAACACTCCTTTCAATTGTGGGCTAGAAAATTTTCACAATGCCCCGCAAGTGGTTATAAATACTAATTGGGGGGAAGAAACCACCATCATGGGTTGACTGAGTGGTCAATAAGGGCCAATGTAAATAGTAAATAGCTTAGAGGAAATGAGTTCAGACTTGACGTGTGCAATTTTATACTTTTAATCAGCTAAAATCACTTTTTCTCTAAATTTTTTTTTGCTTCCAGACGAGAACAAGTTCCCCTGTTCAAATCCCACGCAACCCCGAGACATACGAAAGCACATCTCTTAGAGGACTCTACCCGGTTGGTGAAGGGGCAGGCTACGCGGGAGGAATTGTAAGTGCAGCAGTCGATGGCATGTACGCAGGCTTTGCCGTGGCTAAGAATTTCAATCTTTACCATGGCGACCTTGAGATGGTTTTGGGCAAGGCTCAGAGTTCCGGATCCGTGATGTACTAGAGCTGATTTGATTCTCCTGCCAGTAAAGGAGAGGAGCCTGTGACTATAAATCTGGTGAATCTCTGCACGTTAATTCCCACAAGCCCATCTAAGTCAACCAGGTTTTACTCTCAACCTAACTATAAATGTACGTAAATGCAGTTAAATAGTTTCTTGATATGAAGTGTTAACATTTTTGAAGTTTTCTTTTTGGGCCCAAATATAGTTGTTTTAGAAAAGGTTTAAATTCTTTTTTCATCTCTGAATTTTCATACCTTTAGCTTCTTAATTTCGCTCAAATACCATTTGAATCAATTATTTTATAGAAATTTGACATAGGCATATGTTTTTGTTCGTAGATGAGTGGACAAGTATCGATTTTAATTAGAAATTAATAGTATAGATTACAATAATATTTTAGTCTAAAAGTTTAGGAACTAAAATAAAGTATTTGAAAGATAGAGAAATTGAAACAAAATATTTAAAAGTCTTTAAGTATAGAAAAAACTCTTATTTTTGTCATTATCTCTCAGATTGTGCTTTTATGCTTTTTTAGAAAGAACATTAATCATTAAGGAAAAGCCATTTTAAGTGATAAGTTGTATTTGTGCATACCCATATTGAAAACTTGCATGCTCTTTGGAAGCAGCCATAGTTTTCACCTTCAAGGAGCATCCAATTACAAACAAGGATCTGCTTCTACATCATTTTGTTCGATTTGAGGTGGAGTTTTACATCTTTCTATTTCGTAAATATGCGACAATTAAACAAGCTGCTCGGGCCATTCAGACTGATTTAGCGGACTCTACTTGGTCCAGGTAAATTTTAATTTTCAAGTAGCTATACTTTCATTCTCTACGATTGTCTAGAATTAGTACGACCCTATTTGATAACCATTTTGTTTTTAGTTTTCTGTTTTTGAAAATTAAGTTTGTAAACACTATTTTGAGCTATGTATTTCTTTGTTTTGCTGTGTAATTCTCGAGAACATTTTCAAAATCTAAGTTAAATTTGAAAACTAAAAACAGTAGTTTTAAAAATTTTGTTTTTGTTTTTGAAATTAAGTTAAGAATTTAAATTTGTTTTTAAGAAATGTGAATACACACTAGCAAAATTGTTTAAAGAAGCAAAATGATTATCAAAGAATGCCTACAATAAATTTCATTATTCTAAAATAGTTGCAATAATTCTCAAGTTTTTTATTTTCTTCCTTTTTTATTTTTGTTTTGTTTTCCTTCTAATGACCATGCTTAAGATCTACGCGCTAGGGAAATAGGGAAAACAATAGCTGCAATATTGAATGTTGAAATATGGCAATCCACTTTTTTTAGCGTTGCAACCAATTTTGCTACTTATTAAAATTTCTCAAAACAAAGTGGTTATCAAATTGACCTGTGTTTTTCAGGTTTTTTCTCTCTCTTATTCTCTTCATCTACCTTTTAATTGAGGTTATTTTGTCTTTAAAAACTATAAAACTATGAGCATTAATATTAAATAAAATAACATATATTTTTACAAGTTAACCAAAAAATCATTTTGAAAATGGAAACAAAAACTTGTTTTTTTGTTTTGTTTTAATTTATAGAATATTTATCAAATAACGGCATATTTATAGGGTTTAAGATTTAGGAATTAGAATTGAGTAGATTTGGAAGTTCCTAGGATAATTTGTTGCTCTGCTTCTCATAAGTGACAGCTATTTTGATGTACATTTCTTGATTGGAAAGAAGTAAATTATAGTATTTTATAATCACTACTTTTTCTCTTTAAGCAATGGCAACATGTGTCAAAAATATTGATGAATTTGACCTTTTTCCTTGATGGGCAATAAATACTAGGAAGAATAAGTGACTTAATACAGTTTTTTCTTTTTAATTTTAAAAAATTATTTTGAAATACATCTTTTGTTTCTTATATTGTTATTTATTGCTTTTTACATTTTTATTTAAATATCACAAATTTTAAATCAAGTTGTACTTATATACTTGAAAGAAATTAAGAAATATTTTATTTTTTACCTTTATACTTTGCTCATTAAACTTTCCACTCCATTATATTGAATCTTGAAATTTGTTTTAATTCTCAAAACTAAATTAGGTAAATACCACAGCTAATAAATTATACAAAATTTAACCAATAAAATACTCTAAATCAAACCACAAAAATTTCCAAATTCAACCATAAAAAATACAACTAAAATGCATCTAACATGACTAAAAGAACAACTAATAAAATAACCTCCTTAGTTGTAGTAACACTCATAGCTAGTTACAAGTCTAAAACAACCATCTAATTTGCCGGTATAAATTTTACTACATTTGAAGTTTAAGATTCAATTAGATGAAGTTAAAAGTTTAGGTTAAATTGACTCACCCGGCCAAATACAAGTTAAAATATGACTTTTTTTTCCGACGTTTAATTATTACTATTAGAGAAAACTCACGACCATTACAATCCCACAAATAATTTAAAAAATTATCTCACCACATAATTTTCTGTTTCAAGAAGTTTGTTCGGATCCAAAAGGAAAAAAAAAATATACACCTCATTTTTTATGTTCTCAAGTAATCACAAGACCATGAATAAAGTTTAAATTAAAATATCGAGGTCTCAATTTACGGAGGATAAAATGTCAATTTTGATGGATATTTTTGAAAAAATGAAAAGCCAAAAATCATAACATATATTTGAAAAAAACAAATAAATATTTTTCTTAAATAATTTTAAATCAATTAATATTAATATTATATCCATATTAGTGATATTTTGTTGATATGTTTATATTTTGTCTATTTTTTTGGTGATATTATGGAGACGTTGATTCATCCCTTGTGTTAATGTCAAACTCTTAGTCCTATACAAATGTCGATAGAAATTTAATACCCTGCACATGAGTAATATGACTTATTTTCTATGTTACTTCAGGTTGGAAGTAAAATATCATTTGTATATTTTATTATATGCATGCAGCAGAGGGAGCATTCAGTGAAAGCTCAAGTCTCCACTCCAATATTTTATACATTCTTATCTCTCTCAACAGATTTGCTTTTGGATCATACGGGAACAACACTCTTGCAGATTCTGCATAATATTATCGGTATGTACTAATTTTTATATTGCTATATTATAACAAAAATATTATTGTCAATATTAGCAATAGGATTTTATCTTGAATGGAACTCTTTACTCCTCACCCTGGGAACTTGGTTTTTATGAGAAACTTAACTTTCATTAGTAGATGTGAAAGCTCGAAAAGAGAGGAATCATGGAAAAACATTAGTTTAAAGACTTGTCTATCGGTCGTTAAACTTTGAGTTTGTATTTAATTAGGTTCTTGAATTAAAAAAAAAAAATGTTTGATAGGGGTTTCTAAACTTTAAATTTCTTGTTTAATAGGTTCTTGACATATTTGACATTTTTATGCCTAATAGTCCGATAGAAATTGAATTTTGAGTCTAAGATAACTCTAGTCTTTTAATTTTGTGTTGAATAAATTTGTGAATCTAAAAAAATCTAATAAATTAGAGGTTTATTAGACAAAAAAATTAAAGTTAAGAGACTTATTACCCCTCTTTAAAGTTTAAGAAACACAATACGACTCTAAATTTGTAATTTTCTTTAATTTATTTATTTTTGTTTTTTAAAAGAACTATTCTTGTAGGGTTAGCTTTTGCCTTCCATCATCATTTTACTCTCATTTTATATTAACTTATTTAAGAAAGGGACCCCCCTAATGATTAGGCTTCATGGTAACTAGGACTGAAAATGGGCAGATTGCCTTTTTTCTTAATAAATGTGTGTTCTCTCAAATACAATGGCTTTGTCAATAAATCGATAGTTGGGCTTACAAATTCTAGAATTGGAATCTTCCCCTTTCTCTTTGTTTTTTTACTACGAACATGTGGAGATGATGATTTAAACCTTCAATCTTACTCATATATACCTTAATTAATTGAATTGTGCTCAGGTTGGTGAATTAGAACTCGTTTGGTAGCATTTTTGTTTCTTATTTTTCAAAAGTTAAGAAACATAAGGGTTTGGTAACTGTTTTTATGTTCGGTTTCTCATTTTTAAGAAACAAATTTCTTGTAACCATTATGGGTGGTTCATTGGTCAAAATGGACTAGGGTTAATTAGGAAGGAATGAACTCGAATCCCATGATAACCACCTATCTTGGAAATTAGTAATTCCTATTTATTTATTAAAAAAATAAATACAACATAAAATATTTGAATATTTAATTTTAAAAAAATAATTTTCATATAAAACTTTATTTTTTAATTTAAAATTTTAGAGAAAAATAAATAAGACACAGTGTCACCAAATATGTTTATATTTCTTTTTTCAATGAAAAATAAAAAACAAAAAAGAAAAAATGGAATTTGAAGTGGTAAAATCAGAGTAGACCAAACTCTTAAAAAAAATCTCAATCTATTCATTGTTATTCTCCCTTTGATGTATCACATACCATTTTTTAAATTTCATGTTTAAAATATTTTCAATGTCATTTGTTGTATTCAATAAAAAAGTTGAAGTAAAATAACAGATATGATATGATATTTATTTATTTATTATATATATATAATATATTTTTTTTTTTTTACGTGAGCCTTTTTTATATATAATTTTAAATATTCACCTCATTTCCATCCAATATTTCAAAAATCTAGTTGGCCCTTTGAAAGGTATTATTATAGGACACTATATTTTACCTAATCAAAAGAAAACTACCAAAAGAAGTGCTACCAGAAGGCATTTCAAATGTCATGTTCCTATTTTGTTTTTCAATTTCAAAAACATGATAGTTAATAATTGAAGATGATCTTATTGTTTTTGAACCATATCTAATTATATTAATTTAAATTTCACATAATATACTAATTTCTATACAAAATTGAAAAAAAAAATGATGATGTGATGAGACTTGGACCACTCTAATAAAAACAAATGCCACTTATTTGTGATTTTTGAGTGATTTGTCTTTGGCTCTTGCTTGCATATAAAATTGTCTTTAGGCATGAGTGACTTCCATTCACAAATATATAATCAAACTCTAGATTTCCTTTCATCACCAGCCATAGGTTTTGTAAGATCTGGGATGACCATTTCTTTAACTAAGTAATGAGAAAATTTTAGGAATATTCGGTTCTTTTTTTAATTTTCACCCATCTATTTAGCATGGCTATCATGTCGTGGTCGAGCCAACTCTTCTAGAGACACTATGTGTTGATTGTGGGACGTTCAAGCTGTATGATCGTAACTTACATAGAAAACCTTCCAAAGACATGTGTCTACTCTATTCATGTATGTCCTGAGATATGGTTTGGACATGAAAGTATGTTTTAGCCTCACATCTGACATGTTTACGCAATCAAACAAACAAATAGCTTGATTAGGCTATGTTTGTTAATTAAACCAAACACTCCTCATTTAACAAGTAAGAAAATTGTCAGTTAACTATCCTAATTTAGATTGATTCCCACAATTGAACACAAAACTTGAAGAAGTTCCGGACAACCATACCAAGCCCCTAACTTGACTCAACGTTGTAAACAACAATGCACCACTCCATATTCTTTATTGCCTATTATTAAGCCAAAATCTCTCTCTCAAAGTACCAACTTGACCATCGAAGCTTTCTCGACCAACATCAACATTGGTATCTTTGAACCCTCCTATCATTTCGCTTTTTGTTATCAACATCAAACCTCATCAAGCTAGCGACGGGGAAAGGCTAGGTAGCTGGTTTTCTTGGGATTGCTCTCTGGCTGACTATGACGATTGCCCTCACTGATAAACTTTCACCATCTCCAAATAATTGTCCAGAAAAGAGAACTAATTACCTAGGATTAAAAACTTCCATAAACCCAAGGAACAGCCTCCAATCAAACATAAAGTAGAACTACTTAAATACTTAAATCTAAAATTTATGTTCCCTATTATTATAGATGATTCTACCAATCAGCTAAGCAGGTTCTTTTTCTTTATTTTATACTCAAAGAAAAAAAGAAAAAACTAAGCATGTTAGTTGATGATTAAAAAAAAACAAGAAGAAGAAGCAATGGACCAAAAATGGAAAACAAAATAATTGGTACCCCATAAAGATTGTGATGGGCCCACAATGTGAGATGAAAGTTCCATTTCATAGGTTATGTCTAAGTCATGGGCATGTGGCAAAACTAATGTTTATTATTCTTATTTTGAATAAATTGATTTATTAGTTTGAAAGGGCTTTATAATTTATATAGAAGAAGAAGAATAAAGATGGTTTTGGAAGGGCATGTGGATTTTGAGATACATTGCACCGAAAGTGGATTCCTATATGTATATATTGGCTTTATGTAGAGGGCAGAGCGTGAGATGTTTTATGGCTTTGTTATTATTACCCACATATTTTTGCATATGTTGCCAATAATAATATAATGATTTAATCATTTTGATTCTTTTAATTTCGGGTCTCGTTCATTTTGGTCTCTAGACGTCTATTTTGATCTATCTATGTTCGATTTTTATTCATTTTAGTATCTGCACTTTCAAAATGTCTATTTTGATTATAGTACTTCTAGAAAGTGATTGTTTTGGTCTTTGAATTTTCATTGTTATCTCATTTATGTCTATCATAAATATTATCATGACACTTTACGCATTAAATTTATTGAAATATAGTCATAACGTTGTATTTGTATATAATTTCAAAACCATTTCTTAAAAATGAGAAACTATAAATGTCAACGACTACCTAGCTCATGTATTTCTAAAAAATCGAAAATGAAAAACATAACAAAATGACACTTAGTTAGCATCATTTGTTTCAGTTTGCCTGTTCTCATCAAATTTTCAAAGCTTTATTAGTAATTGAATATTGCTACACTTGACCATGTTAGGAATATGGTTATTAAATTTGATGGAAAAACAGAGTTTGAAGGCCAAATAAGAAAAGGAAAAAAAAAAAAGACTAAATCAAAACCTACCCAATAATCAAAGAATAATTTAGCCAATAGAAAAAGTCAGTCAAGTAAGTTTTGATTGTGACATATGCTTGTATGTTGTAACTTTTAATAAATACATACTCATCACCAAAAATATTAAAATAAGTAATAAGAGAGAACAAAATTGGGAGTCTTGAATCAAAAGTTTAAATTAATTGGACCTTTGTTGGTTGATGGCAATGAAATATATTTATTAACCAAAATTAATCAGACTTTTGTTGGTTGAAGATATTTAATATCTTTAGTATGCTCATTCTTACCAAAAAGAAAAATCTTAC